TATTTGAGTAGTATTCCATCATATACATATACCATATTTTACTAGTCCACTCATGGATCGATGGGCACATAACATGTAACCAAAATGCTTGTACTCCCATAATATCCTGAAATAAAAAAAAAAGAGTCACAGATGTGATGCAATGGCACTATAGATCTAATTATATAAAAAGGATAATAGGATAAAATTGTGGAATTACTTTATGTCAATAAAATTGACAACTTACATGAAATGGATAAATCCTTTGAAAGACACAAACTCAAAAAGAAATAGATAATTTAGATATCTATTAAATAAATTAAATGTTAATTACAAATTTACCACGAAGAAACTCCAGGTCTAAATGGTTTCACTAGTGAAATTTATCAAACATTTAAAGACTAGCTAATTGTAATACCACACAAATCATTTCAGAAAATTGAAAAGGAGTGGATACTTACTAACTCATTCTATGAGACCTACATTATCCTGATGGCAAAACCAGATAACCATATTTTAAGAAAACTATAGACCTATCTTTCAGGTGCATAGATGCAAAAATAATTTTAAAATTTTAGTAAACCGAGTCTAATAATATATTAAAAGGAAAATAAATCATGACCAAGCAAGATTTATCATAGAAATTGCAAGATTGGTTTAATGTTTGAAAATCACTTGATGTAACCTACCACATTAACAAACTGAAAATGAAAGAACCATATTAAAATCTCAATAGATGCCAATAAAACTCCACTGGATAAAATTCAACATCCATTTCTAATAAACTAAGAAACTAAGAATGGAAGGGAAGTGCCTCAATCTGGTAAGGGAATTTATGGAACCCTACGCAACATTATACTTAGTAATTATTATGGGCTGAATATTTGTATCCCCCTCCATTTGTATGTTGAAGTTCTAATCCCCCATGTAATGGTAGTGGGAAGTGGAGCCTTTGGGAGGTAATTAGGTATGGAAGAGGTGCTGAGGGAGGAGTCCTCATGATGAAATTAATGTCCTATAAGAAGAGGAAGAGACCGGAGCCTTCCCTTTTTGCTTCATGTCAGAAGGTGGCAGTATGCAGTGCAGGAAGAGGGCCTTCACTCAGCCCAGAATCTGCCCTGCTGGCACTTGATCTTAGACTTTCCAGTCTTCAGAACTATCGGGAATAAATGTCTATTGTTTGTGCCACCCAGTCTGGCATTTTGTTATAGCAGCTCAAGCAGACTAAGACAGTGATGAAATACTGAATAATCAGGAACAAAAGAAGGATGTATGCTTTCAATACTTCTATTTTAACATCATACTGAAGGTTCTAGCCATTACAGTAATGTAAGAGAAAAAAATAAAGGGCATCCAGATAGGAAAAAAAGAGGAAAAACTATGTTTATTTGGAGACATGATTGTCTATTTAGAAAATCATAAAGCCACTAGAACTAGTAAGATAAGTTTAGTAAGGTTGCAGGATACAAGAGCAACATGCAAGAATCTATGGTATTTCTATGTACTACCTACAAATGAGCAGAAACCAATATTAAAAATAATACCATTAACTATAGTATCAAGAAAAGAAAAAATACCATAGAAGACAAGATTAATATGCAATAATTTAAGGTATTTTTACCTACAAACAAGCAAAAATTGGTATTAAACAAAAATTTCCATTACTGATTATGTCAAGAAAAAGAAATACTTAAGGATAAATCTGATTAAAGTGTGAATGATCTATTTTCTCATTATTACAAAACATTCCTGAGAGAAATTAAAGACCTAAAGTTTTAAATGTAGAAATCACTCATGTTTGTGGGTTGCAAGACTCAATATTGTTAAGATGTTAATTCTCAAGTTGTTTGTATTTAATGCAATCACAATCAAAATCCTAGCATTTTCATTTTTAGGTATTGGCAAAATAATTTTTAAATTTATATAGATATACAAAGGACCTATAAAAGCTAAAAAAAATTCCAAAGAACAACAAAAGAGAAGGACTAACATTATTTGATTTCAAGACTTTTTGTAAAGCTACAGTAGCCATCAAAGTGATAAATACATCAGTAGAACAGAATGGAGAGTCTATAGAAATAAACCCACACATATATGTATAATTAATATTTGACTGGATACATATAAAATGTAGTGGAGAACATGCAGTCATTTAAACAAATTATACTAGAATAATTAAATATCTATATGCAAACAAAGGAACTTTGATCCATAATTTGCACCATATAAAATAATTAGTTCAAATGGATTGTATATGTAAATGTGAAATATAAAATTCCAGGAATTTAAGGGAAAATACTTTTGACCTTGGTTTAGGCAAAGATTTCTTAGATAAGACACCAAACATATAATGTGGAAAGAAATAAATTGATAAATTGGATTTCATCAAAATTAGAAAAATTGCTCTTTGAAAGACTGCTAATAAAATGAAGAAAACAAGCCATAGACTATGAAAAGATATTTGAAAACAATATATCTAACAAAGAACTCGTTTTTAGTTCTTTACAAAATAGAGCATATAAAGTATTTTCAATGCTTAATACCAAGAAAACAAGCCAATGAAAATGGGCAAACAATTCGAACAGACATTTATTCAAATAATATATATAGATGGAAAATAAGCACATAGAAAGATGATCAACATCCTTAGTCACTAGCAAAATGCATATTAAAGAAGCACAATATGAAACTAGTTTAGTCCTGTTAGAATGTCTAAAATAAAAAAGATTATACCAAGTGTTAACAAGAAATGCAGAGAACAACCGAAACTCTTAATACACTGCTGATGGGAATTCAAAATATCACAACCACTGTGGAAAACTGTTTGAGAGTTTCTTAAAAAGTTAAAAGTTAAATATTTACTCAAAAGACATGGAGGTATATAACTACACAAAAACCATATAAAGACCAGCTGCGTGAAAGAAGTCAAAGGAAGTATACATACTGTATGATTCCATTTCATAAAACAGGAAATTCAAACTAATAAATAGTAACAGAAAGTAGATCAGTGTATGCCAGGGGGTGGAGGAATTACACATGGGCATAAGGAAATTTTGGGGGCTGATAATTATGTTTGTTAAGATGATTGTGGTTATGATCTCACAAGTGTGTACATATATCAAAATATTTCAAATTGCACACTCTAAATATGTGCAGTTTATTGCATATCAGTTATAACTCACTAAAGCTGTTAAAAAGAAATTATTTCAATAAGCATATTTTTATGAATTGTATTGATATTACTATCTCGATATATATATTAATAATTAAAAAACAATGGTAACATAATCACATTCAATCTTGTTTTTACAGAACAGGGCAGTTGGGAGACCTCACAGCTCCTTGCAATGAACAATGTAGCTGCTCATCTTCAGTTTATAGTTCTGTCTGTGGAAGAGATGATATTGAATATTTTTCTCCCTGCTTTGCAGGCTGTACATATTCTAAAATGTTAAACAAACAAAAGGTAATTATCTTACTATGTTTCTTCCTCTCCTAGCTCTCTATAAAAGCTTTTTTCTTATTTTCCATTTTTAATATTAAAAGGAAGAAACAAAATTTTCTTCATGTTATCACCATACAAACAGCTTATGGAAATTGGGCATGGAATAGATACTCCTGCATTAAAATGTGCTTACATATAATATATTATCACAATTTTATAGTTTTAAAACAATGGGGGACTGTTATCTACCTCTTGCCATAACAAAGTTGAAAAAAAAAAAAAATCCAAGAGAACATTTTGTCTTCCACTTATGTAGTTTTTCTTAGTTTTATGCTACCTATCAGCAGCACCCAATCCCCCAAAACCTTGAACTACAATCTTTCCCACACCAAGGGGTTGACCAATACTAGCCATTTAGTCACCTTTCATTCAGTTTTTCCTGCTGCTAAGAAATTGAAAATGTTTATACCTTGCCGTTTCTGTTTCTGCCGCACCAGAAAAGTAAGAGAGTTAAAGAAGATTCATAGGGTAGTAAGTAATATAAGTGATGTGAAATTGAATATATGTTATTCCTGCTTGTCCTTTGGCATTTACATGAATTGGGACCATTTTAAAACTTCCCTATTTGTTCATTTTTGTGGCCATTACCATCAGAATCCCTTAATTCCCTGGGCCTTCTACTATCTCCTAACACATTTTTTTATTTTGTCATGGAAAGCAGTTGACCACTTGATTTGTTTGGGTTAATTTTTTTAATATCCAAAGTTTCATACATAAGCTGTAAAATAATGGACTCTCTACTACATTTTTACCTTTTAAGTTGTACAGAAGTATGGACACATGCTCTTAATATTCTGTTCCTCTTTCCCTGTTCTGGCTAGTTCTTGTGAATGGGAGAGAGCAACAGAGAGGTATATTTCCTGATCGATGGGCATGCCACCTCCCTTAATAGGTGATAAGGTCCTTTATTAATTTCACGCCTATGTAACAATATATTTTCCTGTTATACACATATAAGAAATTAGCATACCCAACCAACTTTAATTTAGTTCCTCATAGTAATGTTTTCACTGGCTTAAAATTTAATAATATATATTCCGATTTTTATTG